ACTCCTCGAGTAGAACATTCGGTGCTTTCCCGGTTCGCGCTGCTTAACTGAAAAAGTCCATTTCCAGGGATTTTACAGGCTGGCCAAAACAGTTTGTTCGGAACAGCGACGCCAAGGCAGCAGACAGGCAGCCGGTTGGCGAGCCTTTCCTGACTCGGCACAACCACCGTGACCTTGGGCGAGCGCCGCCTGCCCGCTCCTCCCGGCGGCGTCACCCGGGCGGGCGCTCAGGCTGGACGACAGGCTGGAGAGCGCGGAGCCCCAGGAGGCAGAAAGCGGTACTTTTTCTCTCCTCGAGGTGAACTCTTCTAATTCTTGAGGTGAAAGGAATAGGCAGAGTTGTCCGTCAAAGGGTCGAGACAAAGCGTGAGAACGCAGATGGCGAAAAGCAAGTACAAGTAAGAAACTCGTTTGGAGAGAGGCTGAGGGCGGACAATTGGGTTAAAAATAGACATGCATCTCCGCACAGTTGGCTCCCTACAGCCCCACCCTCAGGACCATGGCCCAGGCAGTGACTCGGTTTCACGCGACAGCAAGGCAGCCCAGCGTTGCCCCGCCCAGCCCCGCCTCCCGGACGCCCTGACTGGGCCGGGGGTGGGTCCTAAGCTTCTACGTCATCACGCCCCCCACCGCCGTCGGGAATTCGCTGACGCACAGGCTCCGCCTCCGCCCCCGCCCTCTACTTCTCAGTGAGCTCGCAAGCCGGTCGGAGGGTGAGCGTCAGTCGGCAGGAGCGGGGAGCAGGCTACTTTCTCTGTGGGCGCTCGCTCGCTCCCGGGAGCCGCGTTGCTTCCCCGGCAGCGGAAGTGCAAGGAAAGCGTCTTCCACAGGCCTTAGCTGCGTCCCGGGCTCGCGCCGGCGCTGCGTCCCGTTCACCCTCCAGGTTCGACCAGACTGCCTTCTGCGAGGGTGTGAAGCGACCGCGGCCGCCCGCCGCGAGCAGCCTTACCGCGGCCGCCTCCGGTCCCCTCCGCCTCCTCTGAGCGTCCCCCCCCCCCTCCGCGTCCCTCCTCCCACTTCCCGAGCTCCGGCGTGTCCCGGCCACGCTCGGCGCTGCTGCGGGAACAAAGGAGGACCCCGCGGCGGCGCCACCTCCGCCTGCGTCTGCGGCCCGGCTGCACCCGCGGCGAAGGCACCAGGGCCCCCAGCTCGCCGGTCCCGGAGATCTCGAGTCCGCTCCTCGGCACCAGCACTGCTCGCGAACCGGACTTGAACTCGCCGGATCCCGCAGGGTAAGTATCGATGGCGCTGGGGGAGGGCGCCCTGGGCCTCGTGCCTCGGGGGGTTACAGGGCCTCCGTGGTCCTACGGCCAAGGCCGAACCGGTTCCGGATGGTCGCGTCTGCGAGAAGGGAGCACAAAGGCGGGGCGTCATGTTGTCGCGGGGCCGGGTGCCGCCTGCTCCCCTGCAGCCGCGGTCCGGGAACAATGCCCGGCGTGTGCGGCCTCCGCCGCCGGAGCTCCGGGCCTCGCTCGCGTAGCGCGCGACCGCCTTTGGTCGCACAGCCCGGCGTGGGCCGCCCGGCAAGGG